GCAGAGGCGGCAGTGGAGGGCTGGGGGACAGCTCCCTGAGGCCGGGCGGGCGGCCTCCCCTCCAGCCCAGCGGGGCCCCCTGCCCAGGGAAGCGGGTCCAGGACCCCCGGCCTGAGTCTGGAAGGCAGAGCGGGGGGAGTGGGTGTGTGTGCTGCGTGACAGCCAACTTCCTCCTCAGGTTTCCTTTCTCTAAAATGTCACTTTGTAAACAACGATAACCGAATATTAGAGAATGTTTTAAGGCGGAAAATCAAAATTCCCAGTCCTTGCACAGTTACTTCATATGAGCCACAGGCAGTTCTATAGAATTTTACAAGGACACAGTCATAGCTCTCATTTCCGTGTAACACCACAGCCAGCTTTTCTCTATTTCTGCCATCTCCACAAGTATCGCAGTTGACAGAGTAACATAAACAGTGTCTTAAGAATGAGTGAGTTGGAAGTGTTTAGTTGCTAGGGGCGGCCTGAGGGGAGCTTGTGCCCTTGGAGCTGTGATCCTTGTGGGATGGTGATCTCACAGCCCTGGCCTGCCCGGTAACGCCAGCGTCTGCGTTAGGAAGGCGGCAGAGCTGATAAGCAGGTGGCTGGTGATCACGAGCTGTGGGTGGGAGGAGGGACGAGCTGTGGGTGGGAGGAGGGACGAGCTGTGGGTGGGAGGAGGCACGAGCTGTGGGTGGGAGGAGGCACGAGCTGTGGGTGGGAGGAGGCACGAGCTGTGGGTGGGAGGAGAGGCACGAGGTGGGTGGGAGGAGGCACGAGCTGTGGGTGGGAGGAGGCACTTTCCCAGCACTGTTGGGCTGCGGGTCCCCATGGAGCCTCCTCGCAGCCCTGCCCACTCCTCAGTGGCCCAGCGCCCTGGCTCAGGAGAAGGCGAACCAGCCTGTACCTACGTCATGTCGCTCCTCCAGGCCAGTGGCTCGCGCGTCTTGTACAGAAGGGGCCTGAGAGAGAGGAGTCTGCTCAGGGCGAAGGAGCTATTCAGTGAAAAAGCCAGCGTCATGCCTGACGGGCGTGGCTCCGTGGGTGGAGCGTTGACCTGCAGACTGAGGGTCCCGGGTTCGGTTCTGATCGAGGGCACGTACCTGGGCTGCGGTCACATCCCCCGCCCGGCCCTGGTTGTGGCGCGTGCAGGAGCCAACCGCCGGCTGTGTTTCTCTCACACCGATGTTCCTCTCTCTCCCACTCTCTCTAAAATCAAAGGAACAGTATCCTCGGGTGAGGATTAGCAACAGACAGGAAGACTCCCGAGCCCGGTTTAGTCCAGCCTGCCTCCCAGGCTGCGGAGCCTGCTCCCGGGCCACGCTGCCCCGCCGGTGGACACAGGAAGCTACACTTGGACAAACTGTAGCAAAGGATCTTGCCGGTTCTGAGGCGTGACCTGTGGGTCACACGGGGAGGGGGCAGGACGCGGCCGGGAACTTTCCCGGGGGCACTCGTCACGGGGGCGGCGGGAGGAAGCAGAGCGGCCCTGGTGACAAGTTCACGTCCTGCCTCCTGCCTCCGCCGCTTCCGTGCTGGATGAACGGGTTGGCCTGAGCCTCAGTTTCCCCCTCTGTCAAATGGGACGGTGACGCTCCCTGTCTTAACCAGCGGTGACCATCAGGCGAGAGGGGGATGCAGCTCACAGCGAGCCCTCGGTAGGTGGCAGGGTCACCTGTGTCCTACCCGCCTGGCGCTCCGGGAAGGTCACCAGAGCTCTGAGCGGGGCCGTCTCCTCCGCAGCCGGAGAGCGGAGCCTGTGATAGAGCCAGCGGAGGCTGGAGGGAAAACAGACCGTGGTCACGAGACCTTCGATGGAAAAATCCACAGCACTCACCTACGCAGGGAGCGGGCGTGAGAGAAGGCAGAGCAGGCAGACGAAGACGGATGTCGCCCTGGAACTCGCCGCAGCCCCTGGCCATCGTCTCAGCCCCGTTGACGTGGGGAGAAGGTTGCGCAGGCGGTTTCTGGACAGAGATCGGGGCTGCGGAACCTCGAGAACGGGCAGCGGCTGGCCCGTCTACCCTGGCGCTGACGCCATCAACCCCCGGAGCCAGCTCTGCACTTGGAGCTGTTCCCGGGGGTCTGACCTCACCTTGTCCTGGTTTTGTCTCACGTGATGCACCACCCAGCCGCCGCCGCTGCCACTTTCCTCCCCGGCTGCTGGCTTGTGTCATCTCCGCGAGGGAAGGCCTTGCGGGCCTCCGCTGCTCCGTGTCAGGCACAGGGGTGCTATGTAAACAGTTTTGCCCTTTATTAGGCATGAAGGAAAACTAGGCCGGCCACAGCGCAGTAAAAATAACACAACAATTAATAAGCAGGCAGCCAGGGCCGGCAGCCCCCCAGGGCCCTGCCGAACAGAAGCTCCGCTCATTCCTCTCCGTTGGACACATCGCCACTCGCTGACCTCATTCCCGCCCGCGCCGGGCCCCGAGCGCCTGGCCCTGCCCCGGCCCATCTGAAGTGGCCTCGCCAGTCCCATCTCCAGGCGCATCAAACCGGGTCAGTCAAGTCTGTCCTTTTCCCATCGTTTTCTCACGGGGGCATTTGAAGTCGTCAAAATCCACAAGCCAAGCACCGTTGCCTGAGCTGTGCGCCTTCCACGGAGCGTGCGTCCTGGCCACGCGGAGGCCGCTCAGGCTGGCTCCGGGCACTGCCCGGCGGTCATCTGGTCTGTGTCTTCGCCTCCGGACAGGGCGGCACCGGCACAAACCTGGCTCCTCTTCGAAATATCACCAGGGAGCCCTAGCTGGTGTGGTTCAGTGGATAGAGCGTCGGCCTGTGGACTGAAGGGTCCTGGGTTCAATTCCAGTCAAGGGCACATGCCCGGGTTGCAGGCTCGATCCCCAGTAGGGGACGTGCAGGAGGCAACCGATCGATGATTCTCTCTCATCATTGATGTTTCCATCTCTCTCTCCCTCTCCCTTCCTCTCTGAAATCAATCAAAACATATTTTAAAATATATATCAGCAGGGAAAGATGCCTCCGGGAGAGCTGAGAGCCTCACGTTTACCCTTCAGCCCACCTGCTCCGTGGTGGCTGGGCAGGAAGGTGCCAGGGCACAGAGCCGGGACGGCCTGACATGGCAGCAGGTCTCGGGGCCGAGCTGACAGCCCCCCATGCGTCCAGCCCGTCGTGCCTGGGGACAGCAGACCTGCCATCGGTGTCTGTCAAGTTGGTGCTGATCAGCTTCTAGTTACGCGGCCCTGGGACACCTCCGTTTCCCAGGAGCCCTCTGCACGGTAGCCTCTTCCCCAGGCAGGCACGGTGACATGGGGGGTCGGGGTGGGGGGCAAGCAGTGCCCTTCCGGCTTTAAGAAACAAGTGTCTGCGAGAGCCAGGCGTTCGGAGGGATGGAGGCAACGGTGAAGCGTCTGAGACAGCAGCCGGCTTCGAGGGGCTTCGGCGGAGAAGGCATGTGGAGCGATCGCCGCCTGTACCCGGTCCCCACAGGAGAGTTGGAGCTTTTGCTGTTCTTGTCTGAATCCACACACTCCCGCCGTGGAGAAGACGTGCTCTTTAAAGCGGATAACGGCCCGTCTGGTGGCTCCGCAGCTGGAGCGTCGTCCCCATACACCGAGGGTGCAGGTTCCACCCCATCAGGGCACACGCAAGCCTCACCCAGGGGCCTGGATGGCGTGGCTCAGTGCCTGAGCGTCGACCTATGAACCAGGAGCTCACAGTTTGATGCCCGGCCAGGGCACATGCCCGGGTTCAGGCTCGATGCCCAGTGGGGGGCGTGCAGGAGGCAGCCGATGGATGATTCTCTCTCATCATTGATGTTTCTATTTGTCTTTCCCTCCCCTTTCCTCTCTGAGATCAATAAAAATATATTTTAAAAAAAGAACCAACCAATGAAGGCATAAATAAGTGGAACCACAATCAATGTTCCTCTCTCCCTAAGAATCAAGTTTGAAAACGGGCCAGGGGAACACGCTACGTCACTACCCATCACGGAGCCATTCTAAAACGCAAATACGACGTTAAGATCAATAAAAATATACATTAAAAAAAAAGTCAATGACAGAATGGAAGTGCTGGATGTATGGGTGTTTGCTGCAAAACTCAACCTTGTTTGAAATCTTCAATAACAAAATGCTGGGAAAACTTGGTAACATTTTATGCATTTGTTCTTATAGTTACCTTTTAAATTTGGGCAAGTGACCGCTATTGACATAACGGTTCCATTTCCAGGGGGAGAGGGAGATAGAAACATCAATGATTAAGAATCACTGGCCGAAACCGGTTTGGCTCAGTGGATAGAGCATCGGCTTGCAGACTGAAGGGTCCCAGGTTCGATTCCGGTCAAGGGCATGTACCTGGGTTGCGGGCACATTCCCAGTAGGAGATGTGCAGGAGGCAGCT